GAAGCTTCTGACTTGCGTTGTTTTCAGAGTTTCATGACCAGAGCAACAGAAGCAGTCAATGTTTAAAGAAGTCTTTCTCCTTTGCTGTGCATAAATTCTTGGGCCCTTTCCCAGAAAAGACTTTCCAGAATAATTGTCCTAGAAAGCTGCACATAGACTGCCTGTCTCTGAATTGCCACACATTGGCGTTAATTCACAGTTCCCGTCACCTACCCGCAATGACGACGGCTAGTCACAAAAAAGCCCTTGGCGTGGAGTTAGAAGATTCTAGGCTCAATTTCCAGCTCTAGAAGTTTCTCTCCGGATACTAGTGTTTACTTGAGGTGTTAAAACATCAGGTGGAATGACTCATTCACTCGTAAGTCGCCTAACACACATTTAACACACTTGTCCCAGGCTCTGTAGGGGCGGGTGCTAGAGCGATACAACAAACACTTACTAATGACCTCAAATGGATCACGTTCTAATGAAAGAGATCGGTAACACAGAGCTATAATTTAATGGAGGGAATAGTGTAATTAATGGTAGCTGCTGCATCAAACAAACTTGCCAAGAATAGTGGCCGATCATGAAATAAAGCCAGGTTTGTTTTTTGTTTTTTTTGCCCATGCAAAGTCCAATGCCGGTTAAGAAGCCCCCTTCCGTCTCATAGCCACACCATACAGGACACATTACGGTCGCAGTCGGATAAGGAGAGGTGAAGGGGTACCTTGGCTCTTAACTGCCTTGGCCCAGAAATAACACACATCACTTCTGTCCATAGCTCACTGTCTAGACCTGGGTCACCTGACCACCCCCCTAAATTACCATCTGTGGAGGTTGGGAAATGCAGGGGAGCTCACAGACACCTCGTGGGTGGGTCTTTGTCCCCGCGGGTAATGCGACGATACCAGTGAGCAAGGAATCATGTATTAACCAGGATTCTTTGGATTCAAGTAACAGAAACCGGCTTGAGTTAGCATAAACAAAAAGGGAAGTTTATTATAAGAGTATTAAGGATTTGGGGTGGTCCTCGAGAACCAAATGGCAGAAATGCAACTGAACGTCAGGCAGGGATTAGAATCAGGAAATGCAGAGCCACTGCAAGATTTCTCTTGCTCTGGTACCATTTTGTGAAGAGAAAAGGGAGTAAGCTGGCTGTTCGCTTCATGGACAATCCATTAGGTGCACTTTGCAGGGAGCTCGGGCATTCCTGATGGTGGATATTTAATCCACGTTAGGGAGAGAGAGAGAGAAAGGCATTCCAAAGGAGATGATGTCTGCCCAGTTGTTTTTTGTTGGTTTGTTTTTTGTCATTTTAATATGTATTTTTATCGTGGTAAAATTGCCCTGAATTTTGAAGGCTAAGAAGGCATTTGCTGGGTGAAGACAAAGAGCAAGGTCTTTCCAGGCAGCAGATGCAAAGAAATGGATACACAAAAGAGCTTGGAATATATGGGAAAGTACAAGCTTATGGCTAGAGTTTAGGGTAAAGATCCTTGATTTTAGATCCTAGAGGCATCTGTAGTACCATTTCCAAGGTGATCATGACAAGGAGATCTAGGCCAATTATGACCATTTTGTTCCTCACTTTTTTTTTAAATTTTTTTTAATGTAATGTTTTTTTTTTTAATTTATTTATGATAGTCACACAGAGAGAGAGAGAGAGGCAGAGACATAGGCAGAGGGAGAAGCAGGCTCCATGCACCGGGAGCCCGATGTGGGATTCGATCCCAGGTCTCCAGGATCGCGCCCTGGGCCAAAGGCAGGCGCCAAACCGCTGCGCCACCCAGGGATCCCTGTTCCTCACTTTTTAGATCCCTTTGGAGCTAGCGATGGCCATGTGATTTTTCTCCTGGCCAGTGAGAACTCAGCAGACTTCAGCTAAAGGGTGCTTCTGGAAAAGTCGCTTATTGCCATGATAAAAGAAAAGAGATGCAGCAGGGATGGCTCCTTGTCTTTTTTTCCTCTTTCCTGCTTTATGTGATGAAGCGTTGACTGGAACCATGGCAGCTATCTTGAGCAATGAAGCAAGAAACGTGAGGATAAAGACGTCATGCCAATAATAGCACAGAGAAAAAAGGAGCCAGTGTCTCTGACAGCATCGTTGAGAGGCCAAACCACTGCCATCTATTTCTCACCTCTAGATTTTTGGTTGTGTGAGAAAAATAAACCCTCATCTGTTTAAGCTCTGTATTTCAGGTACTTGTGGATCACATCACGTCTCTAAATCTCTGATTCCCGTCACATATATGTTTTGCAAATACTTTCTCCCAGTCTCTCGTTTGTCTTTGGTTTTCTTAACAATATCTTCCGAAGATGAAAAGCTTACATTTTGACGAAGTCCATTTTATCAATTTTTTTAAAAAGTTTGTGTTCTTTGCCTACACCCAAGGTCACAAGCATTTTTCTCTTTTTCTTTTTCCTAGGAGATTTATAGTTTTAGCTTTTATACTTAGATCTGTGAATGCTTTTGAGTTAATTTCTTACGTGGTTTGATATATGGGTCAAAGTTAAATTTTTCCATATGGATACCCAGTTGTTCCAGCACCGCTCGTTGAAAAGTCTATCTTTTCCCCATTTAAAATGCCTTGGCTTCTTTGTCTAATCAATTGACCACATTAGAACGGGGCTATTTCTAAAATCTCTATTTTTTCCATTGATTTTTGTGTCTACCTTTATGCTAGGGTCTCAGTGACTTGATTATAGTACATTAGAGTGTATTATACATGCAGTTGATTTCTTAATTTTATTTTCCAATTGCTTGACTCAGTACAGTAATGCAATTAGGTTTTGTATCTTGGCCTTGACTCCTTTAATCTTGATGGATTCGCTTATTATTCTATAGCTTTTTTTCTTCTTTTGTATATTCCTTAGGATGTTCTGTGCACACTTTCATGATGTCCACAGACACAATTTTTCCTGTATGTAACCTGCTGTTACCCTTGTCACTGTTAGGATTTATTCCTTATCACTGGCTTTAGTTGACTATAATGTAGCTCAGCATAGCCTTCTTCATGTTTATCCTGTTTAATGTCCACTGAGTATCTTAAATATTGAAATTTATGCTTTTAACCAAATTTGGAGAAATTTCAGCCATTATTTTTTCAAATATTTTCTCTGCTCCACTTCCTTCTCTCCTGTCCTTCCGGCACTCCAATTATATATGCCAGACCACTTGATAGTATCTAACAAGCCCTGAGTCTCTTCTTTATTTTTAAAGATTCTATTTATTATTTATTTGACAAAGAGAGAGCACAAGTGGGCAGAGCCACAGGAAGTGGGAGAGGGAGAAACAGGTTTCCCAGTGAGCAGGGAGCCTGACGTGGGGCTGGATCCCAGGACCCTGAGATCATGACCTGAGCTGAAGGCAGACGTTTAATTGACTGAGCCACTCAGGTGCTCCCTGAGTCTCTTCTTAAAAAAACAAAAACAAAACAAAACAAAACCCACACAACCTCTTTTTCTCTGTGTTCTTCATATTATATAACTTTTGTTGCTCTACGTTCAAGTTCACTTACTCTTCCCTCTGTTATTTTCACTTGGCTTTTAAATCTATCCATTACATTAAAAAAATTAAAATAGTGTGTAATTTCTAGAATGCCCATTTCATTGAAAAAATTATTTTGATTTTTCTTTCCCTATTGAGATTTTCTAGCTTTTCATCCATCAGAAGTATATTTTCTTTTATTCCATTGTGAATAGTTGTAACAGCCATTGAAAAATCCTCATCTTCTAGTTCTAACATCTGGATTATCTTGGGGCTGTTTCCAGTTACTTTTCTTTTGTCTTGAGAATGTGTTCCATTTTCCTGGTTCATTACACACTGGGTTATTTTACATTGTAAATTGGACATTATGAAAATGGGAAGTCATGTTGTACGATTTCCCTGCCCCAGAATCTGCCTGATTTCTGGTCCCCTTTCTAGTGATTTGAGGGAGCTGTTCATTGCATCATGCCCAGATTTTATAGCTGTGGTCTGTAGGATTATTCATCTAGCAAGATCTTATTTAATCAGATTTTTAATTCATTTCGCCCTGACAGATCTCACCTCAAGGACAAGCTCTACGGTTTTCATTGTTCTGCTACTTGGCTTCTCCAATGCTCCTGGGAAGGATGGTTTACACATGTGCAGCCCAGAAGGGTGGGGGAGCCTGGGCCTTCTGGAGCAGCCATCATATAGTGGGGGATGGGAGTCAATGGATAAATACTTCTCCGTGTTGATTTTAGAGTAGATAATTCCTGTGTGCTCCTCAGGGGGGGCGGGGGGCATAGCAAGACTGAGGTCCAATGGCCCCAGTGGTGACTAACATAACATGCTCTTCAACTGTCTTTTCCCACTTTCCCTTTGTCTAGTACCTCTCACTTTTGGGGTCAACTCCCAAATAAACTATCTGCACTCAAGTTCTTGTTTCCTTTTCTGGAGGGATCCCAGGCTAATGCTCAGTTGTCAATCACGTTACTCCTCCTGTAGCCAAGAGCAACAGTATCTGATACAGATTCATATCGGGAGAAGATGAAGTACAAGAGCTAGGTGGGATTCTGGTTTTAAAGGCTTGCAATGCCATCTAAGAAGTTTGGATTCTATTTGGTCCAGAAGAAAGAGCCGAAGGATACTTGCTATGAAATGGACATGATCCAACTATTTACAGTCTCTTATTGTCCCAAGATCTGAAGACTCTCTGACTTGCTATCTCTGAATTTCAGTTTCTCTCATTAATACATTGAGAAGAGTAGCACTTTCCTGTCTATTTTGCACAGTTGTTACAAAGACCAAATTAGATAATGCATATTCCACAAGGAGCTACGTGAAAGTAGGGTGTTACTACTATTACTTCAATCTGGTGTTATATGTTAGTGTGGGAAATAAACATTGCAATATTTAAAAAAAACAACCACCCATATTTACCTAATAGAATTTCCAACTGGGGCAAAAGTATATTTTGAGGGACCGTGCAATCCAAATATAATTTTAGGTTGTATCTACAAGACAACAGAATAATAAGCAAACTCTAATATACCTGTAAGGAACTGTGGATTCTACAACCAGGGGCTTAAACAGATAGCAGTGGGCCTTCTAAGACTGGCATGGCAACTCTCTGATGTCCCAGACTTCTATCGTTCTGCTGCCAACTTGAGAGCATGGCTTCTATCTTCCAAGTCCCAAGATGTTTATTGCAGCTTCAGGTCTCATGTCGGAAGGGGAATGGGAATGGACAAGTGTGAGTCTTCAAGTTGAGTCAATGCCTCTGCTCCAAAAACTTTCTCAAAGTCTCAGCTAAGGATTTCTGTTTGTGTCACACTGGCCACCCTTTAAACAACGAATGTTGGGAAATATAGCCTTTTAGCTGATAACAAGTCATCCCCAAATAAAATTAAGGTTCCCTCAGTAAGAGAAAAGAAGAGAATGGGTACTGGGCGGGCAGTTACCTGTCTTGGTCATAGGTGGTGTCTCAGAAAGAGCCCTGGGGGCAGCCTGGGTGGCTCAGTGGTTTAGTGCCACCTTCGGCCCAGGGAGCGTTCCTGGAGACCCGGGACGGTGTCCCACGTCGGGCTCCCTGCATGGAGCCTGCTTCTCCCTCTGCCTGTGTCTCTGCTTCTCTCTCTCTCTGTGTGTCTCTCATGGATAAATAAATAAAATCTTAAAAAAGAAAGAAAGAAAGAGCCTTGGGTCAAATCCTGTATTCAAATGCTACTTTTGCCCTTATTTGTTGGCTGACAGGGCACATGGCTTTTTGAGATTCGATTTCTGCTTCTGTCAGATGCTGTTAACAACTTGTACTTTGGAAAGATTTGCACCATACAGAATCATTTGGGGGATTCTGCGAATATTCCATGTAATGTGCCCAGCACAATGCCTGGCACAGGAGAGATGCTCAATGTTTCTGTTGACTCTAACAATACTCTGCGCCAGGTACTAGGCTAGAAGTGAAAAAACACAACAGCACATAATCTCTGCCCTCGAGGAACTCTAAGTGTGTGTGTGTGTGTGTGTGTGTGTGTGTGTGTGTACGTGTATGTGAAGACGTGTCGCACCGTGCCATGCTACTCCACGCAGATTCTTTCTTCAGTGTCCCTGCTCCTGTACCCCAGTCGCTGGGAAGAGTTGCTGCTGATGGCTCCCAGCTGTGCACTTCAGGGGACATTGCCTTCAGCTGCTGGGGACCACCTGCCCCCCATTAGGCACCCTCCTAGGGGGTGGTCTATGGCCAAGGACTGGCTGATGCATGGATCAAAAGCCCAGCTCCTTTGTCTTGATTTTGGGACAACTCTCAAGGGCCATCCTGGCTCTGGAATTCCCTGGAGGATCAACTGAGGCTCAGTGGCAGCTGCATTTCATCATTTTTCCCTCAACGCAGTCCTTCTTCCTTCACTTCTCCCTGGCCTACCTCCAGAAAGCTTCTCCAATACCTCTTGGGCACACAGCCCGCCTCAGAGCCCATTTCCTGGAAACCCGACTGTGATACATGACAAGGTACCCACAAGAGATTTCTCAGGTGTCTTCATTACAGGGGCCGGGCCTCGAGCTGGAGAGGCACGAGCCAGCTGCTCTGGTCTCTCTCACCACCCTCGCAGCTCCTGCACACTGCCGCCTCCGAGAGCCAGGCTGGCCCGTGACCTCTGGTAGTCCTGGTGCCATCTCAGAACTTCTTTTACTTGACCTCCCACCGCTAACTCCCTCATTCTCTGGGCATTTCTGTACGAGTCCCTGCAAGAAAGCACCAGCTAGGCTCGGCCCACCTTTGCAGGTCAAGGACCCCACAGGCTGCCGGGGGGGCCTCTAGTTTGGCTGGTTGGGGGGTCATGCACTCACCACTGGTCAATCAACTGTGGTTGGGGGGAGCAGGGGTGCAGAAGGGACCGTGGCCCGGGGCCTCCCCCTGAGCAGGGCTCAGCGGGGAAGGTAGGTGTTGTGGGAAAGGTGTCCAGTATATTATAAAGGGTGCTCCCAGAGCAAGTGAGGCCCCTGAGAGCCCGGGAAACGGTGACAGCACCGTGCCAGGCAGAGCAAGAAGGCGGGGCTGCTGCCCCTGTGTTCTCGGCTAAGGAGAAAACCGGCTTGATCTGGAATGAAGGGGTGAGGGTGGCAGAGGGAAGAGCAGGTGTGTGTGGAATGAAGCCACGTGGGCTGGCGTGGCCCATCTCAAGGGCAGTTGACCTGCAGATAAGGGACCACGGGGACGGAGGCAGAGGGGGGACCCAGGGCCACTGCAGGAGCGAGCTGGAGCCAGCGGGCAGTTGGATGTCCCTGGGACGGATGCGGTTCCCTGTTGTCACGTTCAGAATGCCTTGTGCCCCCGGGGGTCCCCGCTGGCCCGGGGAGCAGGTGATCGCAGTCCACTTTGCGTGTTTTCTTCCCCCGCCCGAGCTCACAGCAGCAGCCTCCTGCTCTGCAAGATCCCCGTGGTGGAGGTTTCTCCACTGACACATCCCCACATCCCAGGATGCTTGCGGCCCCATTTATACATTGCTTTGATCCTCTTACAGACTAGGAGAGAGGCCCCGTTTATACATTGCTTTGATCCTCTTACAGACTAGGAGAGAGGCCCCGTTTATACATTGCTTTGATCCTCTTACAGACTAGGAGAGAGGGTGATAGGTGTCATCTGCTCTTCCAGGCACAGTCTGTCGAGGTGGCCACCTGCCTCACGTGACTGTTTGCATTTAATTCCTAAAGGTCTGCCCCTCAGGAGCGCTCACATTCCAAGTGCTCAGCACCCCCATGTGTCAGTGGCCTGGATGGTGGAGACAGAGCACATGCTCATCATCCTGCCCAGTGCTCCTGGGTGGTGCTGTCCTTGGCTGGGAACTTAAGTGTGTGTCTGTCCAGCTCCTTGTGGCAGGCCTCGACCTCACAGCAAGGCCGAGGACCTGGCATGTCATCAGTGAACCATTGTGGGACGACTGAGTTGACTGACAGTCTCCACTGACAAGGGGGGAAAGAAGATTCGGAGAGATGCTACTTTCAGGGGTGGTGGAGCAGATATGAGACCGAGCAGGGACTCTGGCCCATCCTTCCCCCTGCCAGCACACGGCTTGTTCAGTCTCTCCCTGCCCCTGCTTTACTGGCCCCCAGGCTCTGACAGGAGAAGGTGGGTCCTCCGTTGTCACCCCAGCAACCTCCCATCACCTGATTGGAAAACCACTTCTAAAAAAATGGCTTATGATATTTTCCCCTAAGGTGAAGGGAATAGAGAATGTGGCAAATACAGGCAAGGAGAAAGAAAAGTTACTCATACCTGTTAACGCAAAAACAGGCTCAGTTAACATTTTGGTACATGTCCTCCAAATGTCTTTTCAGTACTGTTAAAAAACAAAATTCAAAGCAGTAAATTTACACATCTGGGGCACCTAGAAGCCTCTGATTCCTGGTTTCGGCTCAGGTCTTGATCTCGGGCTGAGATCACAGCCTGAGGTTGGTCTCCACACTCAGTGTGGAATCTGCTTGGGATTCTTCTCCCTCTCCCTCTGCCCCTCCTGCTTGTGCTCTCTCTCTAAAATAAATAAATAAAGCTTTTAAAAAAGCTGGCTTTATTAAATGACCCATGAATTGGACAGCATCCCATCTAGCAAGTAGAGAGATGCTCCGAGGAGTTGCACAAAACGGAAGGTTTTTATAGGAAGGAGGCTGGGCCAAGGAAGTTATTAGCAAGGGAACAGGACTGTATCCAGGGAAGGTCACTTGCCTTTAGGGGGAAGAGCAGAGGGTCCTCTCATGCAGATGACCTCATCTTCATTTAGGGGAAAGAGAGAGCTCCTGTGGCTGGTCCCCTCATAGGTGCTGATCAGAAAATTCCTGACTGGCTGGTTCAGACTCACCCCCTGGGGAATGTTGAAACTGCAATTAGATTAGGTATTAAGCCCCCGGTTTGGGGATTTGGTCTAAATGATGCCATTTTGGCACATTGGTTTTAACAATGTAGAGGTGTATTGTTAAAAAATGTAGAGGTGTATTGTTAAAAAGAGGTTTTCCACGAGCCTATGTCATTTGCTTTTGAAAACTGATTTTTTAAAAGATTTTATTTATTCATGAGAGACACCAGAGAGAGGCAGAGACACAGGCAGAGGGAGAAGCAGGCTCCATGCAGGAAACCCGAAGCAGGACTTGATCCTGGGACCCTGGGATCACGACCCGAACTGAAGGCAGATGCTCCACCACTGAACCACCCGAGTGTCCCAAAAACTGATTTTCCAAGAGGTTTGTGGGGGCCAGACACTTACTGCTTTCTTCTCCCAGCCTTTCTCAAGCTCCTGGGCCTATTTCTCTCTTCAGATGTCAGTGTAGTCCTGGATTCACGGAGGTTCTCCGTCCCTGTGAAATGTGCCACGACCACTACACGGTGAAGCTCAAGGCAGGAGCTAATAAGATATCAAACCTGGGTGGTGGGTGCTGGAGATCTCAGGCCCGCCTGCGTGGGGAGTCCCGCCTGGGGCTCTGTGCTTGCAGGCAGATGAAAATGCGTTGCCTGCCCGAAAAAAGCTACGAGGCACAAAGGCTGCCTGGCTAAGGAAGCGGACCCTCAACAACTCGGCCTCTTGCTCTGGCCCTCGGGGAGACGTGGGGTGCCCCTCACCTATCCAAGTGGAGAGATGATTGTGAAAACTTGCCCAGAATGGGAGGGGGACATGAAGGTCCTTTATGAAGCCAAGGGACAGGGACACTTGTATAGTCGGAGGCACGGGGCACTCAGACACCCAATAAAGATGGGTTTGCAACACATTTCCAAACCCAAGTGAGGAAATCAGCCACATGCCGTCGGCTGCTGCAACAAATGGAGAATTCGTAACCCGAGAACTAAAGATAATAAGACGATGTGAAAAAAAACCTCTAAAGCAAGGTTTACAGTTGGAGTGATAAAGAAGCAGATACGTTGAACCTTAAAACCAGAGCAGAACAGTATGGGAAAAATAATAGGCAGGTTTGAAAAGTGTCTACATAGAAAATTTTTTTTAAAAAGTTTTAAGATTATTTTATTATTTTTTTAAAAAGATTTTATTTATTTATTCATGAGAGACACAGAGAGAGAGAGGGGGGCAGAGACACAGGCAGAGAGAGAAGCAGGCTCCATGCAGGGAGCCTGACATGGGACTCGATCCCGGGTCTCCAGATCACACCCTGGGCTGCAGGCGGCGCTAAACCGCTGCACCACCGGGGCTGCCCATATTTATTATTTTAGATAGCGAGTGAGCGAGTGTGTGTGCGTGAGCAAGCAGGGGTAGGGGTAAAAGGAGAGAGAGGGAGAATCTTGAAGCCGACTCCAAGCTGAGCGTGGAGCCCGACACGGGGCTCAACCCCAGGACCCTGAGATCACGATCTGAGCCGAAATCAAGAGCAGGCTGCTCAACTGACCGAGCCACCCAGGCGCCCCTCTACATAGAGATTCTAGGGAAGATACAATTATTGAAATACA